TGCTGGTTGTTGGCTGTCCGATCCATATCTCTTAGCCAGTTTTTTAAAGGACTTGCTACCACCTAGACGTCCGATCCAGGCGCTAGCGTCGAATGCTGCTCGCACGGTGCGAGCAGGCACCTAGCGCGTCGGGCTCGCAAGCGAGCGCACCAGTAGTGGGCCCACACCGTCCCGAACGTCGCCCCGGACGTCATCCACACCATCGGCCTCTTCCCACGCACATCCCATGTGCAACACTCCGATCTAATTTTAAAACATCCAGATGCAACAGTTGCAACATACAAAAGAAGACAAATGAAACACTTGAAACAAGCATCTGAAACACTTACGAAACCGTCTGAAAAACATTTGAAAACCGTTGCAAACATATGCAACATCCAGATGAAACACTTGCAAACATACGTATGAAACACTTGAAATATATGCTTACAATATGCATGTATATGCGACATCCAAATCTACTTTGCAACATCCAGATAAAACACTTGCAACATTTGTCTGGAATAGATGAAATATTTGGAACATACACTTAAAACATACGTGTATAGCCATTACAACATGTGCAACATCCCATCTACTTTTGCAACATCCGTATGAAACATTTGAAATATACATCTGAAACAACTGGAACACTTAAAATATAGGCTTGCAACATGTATGAAAAACGCCTGAAAACACTTGAAAAACATAGCATTGCCAGGGGCCACGGCTTATCTAGTGGGGAACTACGGTGGAGCAGGCCTCCTCTTCCCGCCGCCGACACGAGGTGGATGGGGGCACACGCGTAGGCACAGGCCTTCCCAGGCGCAGGTGCAGGCCTCCCCTGCCTCCCCTTCCGCGACGGGCGAGGTGGATGGGGGCGCGGCGCTAGATGGTGGTGCTGCGCAGGCGTGTAGAGCAGCGAGAGGAGGGTCCGGGTGCCTCGCGGGAATGACCAACGTGGGAAGGGCTGGCCATGCGGGAGAGACGCTGGAGCAGGCGCTTCATGCTGGGAAGGGAGCAGGGAAGAGAGAGCGCCCTGCTGTGGGACCTTGCAGCGGCGGGGTCGGCTGGAGGTGCGGTGTGGTGAGGGGCTTGGAGCAGTTGAGGAGGACACCACACCCCGAGTGGGGAATTTTTCTTTTTTTAGAGGCCGGTCCTATGATAGCACAGGAGGGAGGCAGGATTGGGAGCTGCGTCCGACGAGACGGACGCCCGTGGCTGAGCGTTCCCGATTTTTTTAATGATGTGGTCTCCTCTCTCCCAACTTTCTACATGACTACTTTCACTCTGCCAGCTGCAGTTATCAAGCAGATTGAGAAGTTTAGAAAGCACTATTTTTAGAGAAGAGCTTACTTAAATGCAAAAAAGCCTCTTAAGGCAGCTTGGAAAATGGTGTGCATGCCAAAGGAAGAAGGTGGTCCGGGGGTGACTAATTTGAAATCTCACAATGAAGCCTTAACAATGAAAAATCTTCACAAATTTTTCATTAAGTTGGACATCCCTTGGGTGAACATTATTTCTGAAAAAACTCCACCCAAATGGAAGGCCACCAAATCATGTGAAACAAGGCTCTTTCTTGTGGAGGGATAATATGAAATTGTTGGACACCTTCAAGATGTTTACTAAACTTCAAATTGTGGATGGAAAAGGTTCTCTTCTCTAGGACAATCTTTGGCACTCGCGGGTCTTAAGATTAGAGTTCCCTAAACTTCATTCCTTTGCAAAAAGAAATATATTTCTATATATCTCATCTATGCTTTTGCCATGGATGATTTTGTTTAAGCTAGCAATGCAGGCTCTTTGGCTCAAAAATCTATTGGCAGAGCTCACCTCAACTGAACCAAGAGTGGTGACATATATTGTTTGTAGACAACAATTCAGCCATTGCTTTGCATTGATGAAGAACCTAGTGTTGAATGGGTGCAGCAAGCATATTCATATGAAGTATCACTTCATCAGAGAGTGTGTGGAGAGGGGTCAAATTGTGGTGAAGAGAGTCTGCACCAATGACCAAAAGGCATAGCTGTGAGAGATCAGCGCACAGCAAGATTTGGGGGGAGAATGTTGGACTAATCCAGCTTGGGTACAGATGATGATGACATTGCCTGGAGACACGTGGACAGGAGATGACGTGGGAGCTCGGGCATTTGAAATCAGCAGGCAAGAGCGCGGTGAGCTCGCCCACGATGTGCACGGCGAGCGCATGTCTGAAGCAGTTGCGCTGAAGCGACTTTGTATCAGTCTTTTAGCAGTTTATTTCCATATTAGCATGTGTGTTAATTACTGGTGTAAGTAGTATGTGTGTTAAGGTGTGGAAAACACAAGAGAACCACTTGCTTTTTGTGCTTGTATCGTTCTAACTCATCGGAGGAAAATAGCCCTAGCAGCCGACAGTTGCCATGTCTGTGTGTGTTCTGTGTTCTTGATTGATTTCTTAGGTTAGCCACCGATCAAACGTGTGTAATTGAGTTCTTGAGGCCAACATGCACCACATCGCTATCGGTGAGGAGAGGGAGGACGACGCGTTAGCGGTCATGGCTAGGGAAGTAGTATATATCTAAGTACGAGAGGGAGAGAGAAGGCATGGTATTTAAGCACTCCTCCGTATTATTACTGTTCTTCCTCCTTCGACCCCTTCTTCTTCCTGAGCAAGGCACCTCTTGCTCACAGCCAGCCAGTGAGCCCCGGCGACGGCGGAAAGTTGCACTGCATCGGTGCCGGAACAGCGCGAGATCCGTGGCCATCCCGCCGGCAACATCGATGACCATATGCCAACCCCGCGACGGACGCACGCGGCGGATCGACGGCACTGCAGATCAAGGGCGGCAGCGCGCGGCCCAGCATCAGCAAGTGGCCTGGTGACGCTCTCCGGCCCGGCACGGCAACGCAACAGAGGGATAGTAAACTCTGGACATATTATCCAACAGCAGTCGGACGGGCTTGGCCTGCTCTCCTGATGACTTGACCAAGTCGCTCTTCTCTCCATCGCCTTCTGTTATAAACGACGCATAGGAATATGAAGTAAAGAATAAGCCACAGAGGAGACACACGATTTAACGTGGAAAACCCCTCCAATGTGAAGGGGAAAAACCACGGGCACCAGCCAGCAACAATCTCACTATCTCAAGAGTTTTGAGTTACACGCCTATGACGGCTTACAAGAGAATCAAGTCTCCACGAAACCCTAGCAAGGGTGTATATACCGTACCGTACCGCGGGGGGCGAAGCCCCCCGCACCCCCCGAAAACAGGGGCGAGACCTGATGGGCCGGGCTTCAGACTCCGCTCCGCTCCGTCAGAAGCCCGGCCTATATCCTGGAGTGAATTTAGAACAACTCCAACAAACTCCACCTTGAGACAAATTCATCTTGTATCATAAATTAACCCTTCATCCTGAACATAACAAAGATAGAAAAACCACTGGTGCCAACAATAGTCTCTTGGACTATCCAATTAAACAAACTAAGCTTGAGCATAGCTCAAACTTAGCAACAGGAACAGGCTTTATCATCATATCAGCAGGATTATCATGAGTACTAATCTTGCATACCTTCAGCTTACCTTCTTCAATCACATCACGCACAAAATGATACTTGATATCTATGTGCTTAGTTCTCTCATGGAACATCTGATCTTTAGTGAGGTAAATTACACTTTGACTGTCATAGTGCAAACTTATGCAAGATTCAACTCCACAAAGCTCAGCGTACAAACCTTTCAGCCAAATTAATTCTTTGCACGCTTCACAAATAGCCATATATTCTGCTTCAGTAGTAGACAAAGCAACAACTGACTGTAAAGTAGCCCTCCAACTCATAGCACAACTGCCAACAGTAAACACATAACCTGTAAGTGATCTTCGCCTGTCCAGATCAGCAGCATAATCAGAATCCACATAGCCAATAAGACCCTTATCAGTTCTTCCAAACTTTAAACAGGAATCTGCTGTGCCTCTGAGGTACCTGAAAATCCACTGAACTGTCCTCCAATGTTCTTTGCCAGGATTAGACATATATCTACTAACAAGACTCATAGCATATGACAAATCTGGACGAGAGCAAACCATGGCATACATCAAAGACCCAACAGCACTAGAATAAGGAACCCTTGACATGTATTCAATCTCTGCATCTGTACTAGGACACTGAGCAGCTGACAACTTAAAGTGAGGTGCAATAGGGGTACTAACAGCCTTAGCATTTTGCATGTTGAAACGCTGAAGAACTTTCTTGATATAATTTTGTTGACTAAGAAATAGCAAACCAGATTTTCTGTCTCTACTAATTTCCATACCAAGAATTTTCTTAGCACTACCAAGATCTTTCATATCAAAATCACTACTCAATAGCTTCTTTAACTTAATGATTTCAATCTTACTCTTGGCAGCAATCAGCATATCATCAACATATAACAACAAATATATAGGTGATCCATTAACATGCTTGATGTAAACACAGCTATTATACTTAGATCTTTTAAAACTGTGTGCTAACATAAATGAATCAAACCTCTTGTTCCACTGACGAGGGGACTGTTTCAAACCATACAAGAATCTCTTCAACTTACACACATATTTTTCCTTGCCAGGCACTATGAACCCTTCTGGTTGGTCCATATATATGTCCTCCTCAAGCTCTCCATACAAAAACGCAGTCTTCACATCTAACTGCTTAAGCTCAAGATCATGTGAAGCAACAATACTAAGGAAAGTACGAATTGAACTGTGTTTTACCACTGGAGAGAACACATCATTGTAGTCAACACCCGGAATTTGACTGTAGCCTTTAGCAACTAACCTTGCCTTATACTTTGGAGGCTCGCTTGGAGATAAACCCTCCTTTCTCTTGAAGATCCATTTGCAGCTGATGGTCTTCTTATTCTTAGGCAAAGGTACAATCTCCCATGTACTGTTCTTCTCAAGAGACTGCATCTCCTCATGCATAGCAAATCCAATTCTCGATATCACCACAACGAATAGCTTCTTTATAGGTTCTTTGGCTCATGAACATTCTCCACTGTTCAAAGACAACTCAAAGCATAGTAAGACAAATTACACTCTTCAATAAGACGCTTAGGAGGTGCAATTGTCCTTTTTGACTTGCGTTGAGCAATAGGTAAATCCTCCTCTAACTGCAAAATAGGAGGAGTTTGCTGAACATCATCATGAGCATCATCCTCAAAGAACATCATTATCATGGTCACCATGCTCATCAACAGGCTCCACCGCACACCAGTATCATCATCAACATGCTCCACCTGCATGCGCATCTGCCGCAGCTCTTTTTTCTGGAACATGATCTGAGGGCAAACCGTCAAGAAACATCACAGATTCATTGAAAACAACACTTCGCTCATAAAGTCTTTCCTGTTTGTGATTCCACAATTTATAGCCTTTGACTCCCAAACTATAACCAAGGAAAAGACACTTAACAGCTCTAGGCTCTAATTTTCCATTATCAACATGAGCATAAGCGATGCATCCAAAAACTTTCAACTGTGAATAATCGGCAGAAAGCGTGCAGCACCATACCTCAATGGGAGTTCTTTTATTTAGTGGAATAGAAGGCGACACATTTATCAAGTAACAGCGATATTAGCGACTTCACCCAAAAATGCTTGCTCATCCCGGCATTAGACAAAGATGCAACGGGCCTTGGACATGATTGTTCTGTTCATACGTTCGGCCACACCATTCATTGTGGAGTATGGGGTATGGTGTGATGCCTAACGATGCCTTCCGATCTGCAATAATCATTAAATTCACGCCGAACAAAATTCTCCACCATTATCAGTACGAAGCAATTTTACCTTCCTTTCAGTTTGCCTTTCTATCATTACTTTCCAGTCCTTAAAAGCAGCAAAAGTATCATCTTTCTGTTTCAGAAAATAAGGCCAAACCCTTCTAGAGTAATCATCAATAATTGTAAGCATGTAACGAGCACCACCAAGTGAGGACTTACGGGAAGGGCCCCATAAATCAGCATGAACATAATCAAGAGTACCTTTAGTGGTGTGAACAGAAGTGTTGAAATGTACCCTTTTATGCTTCCCGAAAATACAATGCTCACAAAACTTTATTTTACTCGAAGTGCAGCCATCCAGCAGGTTTCTCTTCATCAATTCTGCCATACCATGGTGACTCATATGTCCCAAACGCATATGCCAAAGGTTAGTTTTACTAGGTTCATCATTAGTAACAGCAGCAACAGCGGAATCAGAACCAGGTAAAGTACACCCTCTAAGGACATATAACTTTGCAGAATTAAGATCACCTTTCAAGCAAACAAGAGAACCTTTTGATACCTTCAGAACGCCATCTGAACCGGAATATTTGTAACCTTCTGCATCAAGCGTGCTCAATGAGATAAGATTTCTGGACATCCCTGGTATATACCTGACGTTTTTCAGCGTGCGTGTCATGCCATCATCAGTCTTGATCTGAACTGATCCAATCCCCACAATGTCACACGGGTTATCATCTCCCATCCGCACAACATCCCCTTTCTGCACAGGCTTATACGAGCTAAACCAATTTCTGTTAGTGCAAATATGAAATGAACATGCGGAATCGAGAATCCATTCATCATGACCAGCAACACAACCAGCAAATACTACCAGACAATCTCTAGAATCATCATCAGACGCAGCAGCAGCAACAGAGACCTTACCAGCCGACTTGTTTTTCCTCTTCTCCTTATTCTGTACTTTTCTGCAATCCTCAATATATCCTGGAGTGAATTTGGAACAACTCCAACACCTTCTTCAGAGTAGCAGAGGAAGGAGCGCTGACAATCCCCCCTTCTTGAGAGCCGGCATGACCCTAGGCGGGCGCTCTTGGGAAGCGCTGCTTGAGAGGAACCAGTAGCTCCCAGGTGGCTAGGGACGGCGGCATCTGGGACCACTGCACAAGCACTTCCTCCACTGGGGAGGCACCTGCAGTCCAGCGACGATCCAGAATGGCTTGTGGAACCTGAAACTGGGCAAGTTCATCTGGGAGAGCATTAGTGACCGGCAGCTTACCATGCGAAGCCTTCAGCCGGGATACATCAAAGACCGGGTGGATGGAAGAAGAAGTTGGCAACTCCAGTTTGTATGCGGCCGCGCCAATACGAGCCAGAATCTTGTAGGGGCCGAAGCATAACGGAATGAGAGCTTTTGATTAGCATGCCTGGCCAAGGAAGGTTGCACATATGGCTAGAGTTTCAAGAACACCTGGTCTCCAACAGAAAATTGGCGCTTTGAACGGTGTTTATCTGCCTGACGCTTCATTCGCGTTTGAGCACGGCTCAGATGCTGCTAAATCAAGGAATTCATGACGACGCGCTCATCCAGCCAATTGTTGAGGTCAGTAACAGGTGTGGCTGCAGGGGAAGCATGACTGAAGTGCCGAGAAGGAAAACCATAGAAGACTTCAAATGGGGATCGACCCAAGGAAGTATGGTAAGAAAAATTTTACCAAAACTCGGCGAGGGAGACCCACAGAACCCATTTAGAAGGGCAGACATGAGCAAAGCAGCGGAAGTATGTTTCAATGCACAAGTTCACCCGCTCGGTCTGCTCGTCCGTCTGCGGGTGGTAAGCGGTGCTCATGCGTAGAGAGGCGCCGAAGATGGTGAAGAGGGTCTTCCAGAAGGCACTTGTCAAAATGCGATCATGATCAGAGATTATGGCCAGAGTGTCACACCTGATTTTAAGACAAAATCGAATACACAACATATGTATGACAGGATCAATTTTCATACATATATCCACTTTATTACATTATCAAAACCAGAGTTGCTTACATAACGAAAACATTATTACAAAATGACCTGTGGGTCTAAAATAAAATCTCATAAAACCTCCAGTGTACATGGACGCCATCTTCATAGGAAGGTTGACCAGGGGCAGCACCAGCCTAGAACACGTCGTCAGGGTCGAAGGCGTCGTCTTCAACATACTCCTCGTCGTCTCCGGTGTCTGGGTGGGGTAGCAGGAGGACAAAGAGAAAGGGTGAGTACATCGAAATATACACCGCAAGTGTAGGAACAATATGACATGAGGCTTATTGAAGGGACCATGACACCTAAGAGGGGGGGTGAATTAAGCAACTTAAAAATCTAACTCTAAACTATGACCTCTTTTCTAACCTTAGTAAAATCTATGCAAAATATAAACTATCTAAATGTGCAACTACGGTTTTGCTAGTGAGTTGCTATCTCTACCGCAAAAGGAATAATACAATCAATGTAAATGCGGAAGCTAAAGAGCAAGGTAGAGATATGCAAACTCTCGTCAACGACTCCGGTATTTTTACCGAGGTAAAGAGAAGCACGCAAGTTTCCTCCTAGTCCTCGTTGGAGCCCCTCGCAAGGAATCCCTCACAAGGGCCAAGCTCCCGGTCGGGTAACTCCATGGATAGCCTCAGGCCTTCGCTACGCGCAAGTGGGTCTCCGACGTGCCTTCCGGCAAGCCTCTCCCGGATGCTCCCCGCCATCTTCACTATCAAGCTTTCGGCCGAAACGCCGCGAGCCTTGTTCCCTCCGGTACACGGTGGCGGCCACACCACAAACGCAGTTGGTGTGATCTCGTAAGATTACAAGCTCCTCCGATGTACAACAATGGTGCGCGCAAGCACCGAGTGGTAAGAGGTATGCAAATCTCACTAAACACTAGGCCTAAACCTAGAGCAAGCGCATAAGCGGTGGTCTAATCAACCTAAGAACTTCGCAAAGCACCTACGCTAATCACCTAATGAAACACTAAGCACTATGCAAATAGAGATCACTAAAATAGTATATCAACACCCTAGATATGTTTTCTCAGCTCCACACGCTTCATTTGGCAGGTTGGGTGTTGTATTTATAAGCCCCACTGAGAAAATAGCCGTTGGGGACGAAATCCCGCTTTTCTGCTACTGACTAGACGCTGATCACGTCCTGACCGGACGCGTCCGGTCGTCCCGACCGTTGGAGCCACGATCAACTGATCGGACGCTGCCAGCGTCCGGTCACATGCCACCGGATGCGTCTGGTCGTATTTTCGCCGCTCTAGAACCTCTCTGTACTCGACCGGACCTACTGTCCTACGTCCGGTCGATCTGCCGCCAGCGTTCGGTCCAGCGTCCGGTCACTGCTTCTGCCAAGCCTCTTGATCGGGCGTCCGGTCACTGTGCTACCAGCGTCCGGTCACTTCTATGAGCTCGTTTCTTAGCGATCTTGCGTACGGCTTGGTTCCCATCTTCATGTTTGGACTTTGCTTGATATCTTTGGTCTTTTCTTGTGCTTTTAAGGTCTTGCTTATGGTGTTGATCATCGGATCATCACATCACCTTTGTCCAAGTCACGTCTCGCATCCTATTGAACTACAAAACAATCACTTGCAAATTCATTAGTCCAATTTGGTCGTGTTGGTCATCAAACACCAAAATCCAAAGTAAATGGGCCAAGGATCCATTTTCCTTACAATCTCCCCATTTTGGTGATTGATGACAACATAACCAAAGCAAGTAAATAATAAAAATTTGGAATTTAAAAACTATCTACTTGCTAGGATGTAATGCAAGGGACAAGGTTATATGATGCTAAAAGATACTACTTGTAATACTAAAAGATACTACATAAAAACTTATCTTGTCCTTGCAAATGTTCCCATGTGGCATTATGGATTTAAGCTTTGCTTCCTACAAATTCTCCCCATTACATAGGCAATCCATAATCCACCATCCTCTCTTTCTCGGACTATTACCACTTGTAAATTATTAATGCTTGCTTTTGGTCCTCTAAATTCCCCCCCCTTTGGAATCAAACACCAAAAAGGAAGACATTAGTAGCACAAGAGAGGGTCAAACTTTGTGATCCTTTATGTGTAGAGTGGAATAGGTCACAAAATTTGACTCTCACATTATATAGATTAAGCTCCCCCTAAATATATGCATACATATGGTAGAAAGTAAGGCATATGCATATTTGGCAAATTATTGCTCAAGGGAATTTAATCTATATATAATGCATAGAGAAAGCATATAAATATCAAAATAAAATCAACATGATGATATCGGTTTAGGAATACCACATGTGAAAACCAATTTGATTTCTACCACTTGCAATAGGTGGTGGATATTTGAAGTATGATGCTTAACTCCGGGGACTCCATTTTCCTTGCAATGAGACTACTACTCACATGATAAGCTTGAAAAGGTGTTAGTCTCAAAGCATCCAACTTGCAGAGTAACCTCCCCCTAAATTTATGCACACAAGTGTGGGATACTTGTAGAATTCATGCACATTGATTTTAGACTTAATAATACCACTTGAAAGATAACATCTCATGAATGTGAGAATCATTTTCGAAGATAATATTCGGGAGAAATTATCTACAATTTGGACTTTGGCACATATTAGATGAATAATCAAAAGACAAGCTATGTGTCGTGCTCCTAAACAATTTTCAACAATGTAGGTTTGCTCCAAGGGTTAAGAATGAAACCGAGCAAGCCCACCATAAGATATACCTAGTGTATGCATGACAAAAGATATAAGCATGTAAATGCAAACATAGGCATAAAAAGTAACTAGATGCTCAAATGTACCAATTTATAAGAAATAACACTTGTAGGAAATAAAAATTGATACTATTTGAAGGAAATTGAATCTAGTTACCTAACATGGGAAGGGGAATTTGGGTCCATAGTATTCACTAACCCACTTGGCAATGATTTTGTCCATCATGATGCACCCCATGAAATACATCCATACTTTGCCAAGTCTCCAAATTTCTCGAAGTCCATTGGACTTCTCACTTCCCTTTCGGAATCCAAACCTTCTTGGTGCTCTTCATGTTGGAAATGATTTCCTTTGGCACCCAAAAGCGTTTGACCTCATTATTGGCTTGTTTGTTCACCTTGGTGGTCACCACCTTGTCATTTTTCTTCTTCTTCAAGAGATAAGGTGTGGAGGCCTTCTTATCCATCTTGTTGGTGTAGGTGTTGGAGAGCTTACTTGTTTGCTTCTTCTCTTTCTTCTTTGCTCCTCCCCCATTCTTCACCTTGCACTCATAGGACTTGTGACCTTCCTTATGGCATACGTAGCAAACCACGGTTTGTCCTTCATCAAGCTTCTTCACTCCCTTGACGGTGTTATCTTGATGAAGTTGGGCTTGTTTCGCTTTGCCTTTCACTTGAGTCAAGTCCTTGGTGAGGCGAGCTACTTCTTGCTTGAGTTGCTCATTTTTCTTTGCAACCTCTTGTGTGCATGTATCTACAACAACTTTCTCAACACAAACTTAATTGCACAAAGATGAGTCTAAACATAAATCATTACAAAGAAGTAGAGGCATCCTTTTTAGACATGTTAAAGATAGAACTTTTTCTTTTAAATGCCTTAGTGGGGGTTGTACTAATGGCTTCAAGATTAGCAACTTTATTAGTTAGTTCATCACAATATTTGCACATGATTTCCATTTTAGCAAACAAACTTTTATAAGCATCTTGTGAGCTAGCTAACTTTTCTTTTAATTTTTCATTTTTCTTTACAAGTTGCTCATCATTGATTGTGCATGCATTTGTTGTTACACTAGCCTCAAGTTTCTCAATTTTAGTAGATAGTTCAACATTGAGATTAGCAAAGTTCTCATATTTTTCAAGCAATGTTTTATATGCTTCTTGTGAACTTTCTAGCTTCCCTTTTAATTTTTCGAGCTTCTTTTGTTGACTAGTGCAAACTTTAGCATAATTAAGATTTTGTTGCACAATTTCATCATAAGAAGGCATTTCATCATCACTATCACTCTCACTAGAGGATGAGCTTTCGTTACCTCATGCCATAAGGCACATACAAGAAGAGCTTGATGGCGAGTGCTTGCGCCCTCGCCTCTTGTGATGGTGTTCTTCTTCACTTGAAGAATCATCCCATGACCTTATTGATGTGAGGGCTTGGTTCTTGCACGCCTTCTTCTTTGTCTTGGGTGTGGGCTTGTTTGGACAAACTTCTACAAAGTGCCCCAACTCGCCGCATCCATAGCATCCTCTCTTTCTTTGCTCATTTTTTTGATTAGTGAAGATGATATCTTAGATTTGGATGGGCACACCCTTGACATTGAGCCTTTGGATCATCTTCTCCACCTTGTTGATTAGTTTGATTGATTCTTCATCAAGGTCAGAGGTGAAGGAGGAAGATTGATCATCATCACTTGAATCTTCATCATCATCATCGTCCTCATCTTCTTCTTCATCTTCACTTGAGGAGCTTGAGCTTGAGCTTGTCTCAACTTGCTTGCCCTTCATCTTCTTT